TTAAAATTTATAAATCTATTAAAATAGAAGATTAAAATAGGTTTTTGCGGAATCTATCCCCGTATCATCCCCTTTCCTTCCACCATATTGTGGACCAATGCTTTATGTGAAGTCTAAGAAATTGGTGACAAGTTCTAAATTCGATCCAGGTGATTGACATGATTCTGACCCTGTTTCCCCCAAATTCCCATGTTCAATATTGAAAAGAGAGAAAGAGAGAGAGAGAGAGAGAGAGAGAGGTAGCAATGTAGCATAAGTCTTGGATTGAGATATATAATTTTACCTTTTTGCCAATTTATAGTGCTGCAGTAACCAACACACATCGGAGTTAAAGAAATCAAAGGAAATTATCTCTTTTAGCCACAACGCATCATCAAAATTTGGTCAAACCAATCCGCACATACTCACTTATTCATCATGCCAATCTGCAAAATTATAATTAAGGCAACAATTTTATAAATCAAGTATAATGAGAACAACAGGCTAAACAATGCGTTTGCAGCAACCTTTAAACTGTAATAGCTAAATTGTAAACACTAACTTCGGAACCTCAATTTTGTTCCCTGGTGTGGCAGGTTGAATCACGTCGATAGAAATTATGAGCTGCTTCTGGCGGTGCCAATCCCAGAGAGAGGCGTCAAAACACATGAAGAGTGGCTTAGGGCGTCTTAGCAGAGGCGAGGCTTCTCTAATTGAGAAGGCCAGCGACGGCTGCGTGACTCCCATTGGGAAATTGATGGAGGCAGGACGGGGAGAGGCGGAGATTGGATTAGGCTGGGTTTCCGGCGGAGCGTGCCGGAGCAGTGGCGACAGAGCCTGGTCAGGATTCAACTGGGCGGACCTTGTTTTATATTTAGGCCCTCAAAGTTTTGAGAATTGGAAATTTAAACCTTTATATACTTTTTCATTGGCAAATTACTCCATTAACAGGGTGTGTAACTGTTTGTCAGGCAGGGATGGCATATTCCCCGACGTCCCACATGGATCCGATCACAAGGACTAGAATTCGTGGAATATTGCTCCCTATAGGAAGAGAACGGGGCCATTCTTAGAAATTTTTAACAGGGTGAGAATTCGAAAAATATTCCTAAACTTAAGCAAAAATATTTGTATAATTGTAATGGTCTCTAGGAAAATTTTCTATGACAGCACAAGTGAAAACAGACTATTTTTTGAGAGTTAGTGTGGAATTCTCTGTATAGTGCTACACAACTGAGTTCTGGTAAAAGTTTTCCAAGAAAAGTCCTCTAAAAGTGCATTCGACTTTCTGATTCTCGCTAAACATTAACCAGTCTTAGGAACAAACTTCCATTACTTTGGAAAAATATTAATCAGAAATTTATTTTCTGCCTCGGCTTATGCCAACATTAAGATTAGTCTAAAACAGCTATAGTTTGAGAGTCAGCTTCATGACACAGGATCCACAGGGACAGTAGAGTTGTGGACTCTCTCCATAGCTTTCTTTGCCTGCAAAAAATTTCCATAAGCTCAATCTTTCCACGAAGATATGATGGAAATGAAGAGAAATAAATAAGCTGTTGATTTATGTACCTCTTGCTCCCAGTTAGTGCGTGCAAGAATGATTATAAGAGAAGTTACTTGAACAACAAGCGCACAGATGATCCCCAGCCAGAGCCCCTAAAAACAATTTAAGGTACAAGAAAATCATTTTGATTGATGTGAAGGAAATGAACCAAATAGTAAATTGTTCAGAATCGGTCTAAATTGGCTAGTAAAGTAGAATGGTGATTAGTTCTTTACCTTTCCGCCAACGTGAAGTACGAAAGCTAAAACAATAGCACAAGGAATCCCCACCAAGTAATATGAGCCTAAATTGATATATGCACCAATTTTCTGCAATCCACACCCTCTTACAGTGCCTGAATTGTCACAGGCAGATACTTATTAGGAAGTTGCTGAAGTTTTGAATGTGAATACTAAGTTTCTTCAATGTGTTTCAAATCATTTCTTTGATTTGTACATTAAGAATGCATGTTCATAGGTAGAAAAGCATATAAATCGTTATGAGGTTTGTTATCTGCAACTATGCAAAATTTTCTATGAAGCATAAAAAAAGTTAGGAGGCAAGGAATTGAGACCAGAAAGAACACATTGAAGTCCGTCCAAGAAGTTGGAAGCTGCTAGAATTGGCATCATGACTGCTACATATTCAACAACTTTTATCTCATTGCTATAAGCATAGCCCCATATGTTTCGGATCAAAATCAGGACTAATCCTACCAAAATGCCCTCAGTAATGCCAATAACTAGTACAACACAAACTGCTAAACGTGCAGCATCTGGATGCCCTGCTCCTAATTCATTTGAAACTCGTGTGCTGAAATGGATCAAGATGCAAAACAAGTTTAATACTAATGCTTCAGAGTTATATGTCATCAAAAATGGGGTAATTTTTTACCTTACTGCACCACTTAGTCCAAAGGGGATCATCCAAACAGTACCAGCGGTATTGAGGCTGAAAGTTAAGATGTTGGATAAGCTTAACATTTCAGTGGAACAAGAACTCACGATTATGTAAACTAGACTAAAAATTCTAGGTAGAAATAGTCAATGAAACTTTGAAACAGACCAGATAGAGAGAACAGAAGTTTGTAGCTCTGGATTAGGGAGAAGTCCAGATACAAGGACCATCATTTCAAATGACCACATCTCCAAGCTGTTCAAATTCATGGGAAAATCAAAGTTTTTATGTTGACATTTTCTGCTTAAGTGTGTTATTGATTGGGGGAAGAAAAAAGGGTAAGAGATTACCAGACCATAACAGCTGATGGAACAGCAAGACGAAGAAAATTGAGGATGTTATGCAGTGCCTCCTTTGAAAATCCGGTCCAGGTGTTAGTGTGCAGGAAGGAGAAAACTTGACATAACATACCAAAAAAAATACATTCACCCAATAGGATATTACATTGGCCAGGGCAGCACCTCTAATTTTGAGGCCAGATTTGAACACCAAGGCCCAAGAAACAGGAATGTGAAGCAGAGTTGTGATGCCTGAAAATAACATCATTGGGTAAACAATGTTCTGTGTTTGCAAAAATCTGCTAAGAGACTGAAGGAGACTGTATGCGAAAAGGCTGGGAATCATGAAACGAGCATATATTCCTGCTTCCTTAGCAATGTCATGATCTTGGCCTACAAGAACTAGAATGGATCTGGTGTTTGCCCAAATTATGGCTAGAGGTATGGCAACAAGAACAAGAACAAACATGGCTCTTTGCATGTGTATCCCCAGCATATGATACTGCTTTGCCCCATATGACTGTCCGCACAGTGTATCTAACGCACTTGCCATTCCCATCTGTTGTAATGAAAAAAACTGAATAATCATAAATTCTATTTAAACAAGTTTAATGTTTTGGAAATTTTTCAGATGTAAAGATGAGAGCTCTATATCAGAAATTATGAAAATTTGACTTTGGTTGATGCTCATTGCTGGATTATAGTAAACGCTAAGTCTTTCCACAGGTCCATATAGCATCAAGTACTGTCGTTTTATGATAGTAAGGAATGGCATGCTATGACCTTTAGCTTGATGGTCTAAAGGATCATGATAAGGCCAAGAAATTGTAGAAAAGTGCGTTTGTAGGCAGTTACAACCTACCAGTCGAGCAGTAATCACAAAACGACTTGAGAATTTAGTTTTTATTTAGGTCTCCATAACAACAAATAGTTGATGTAATGCTCATAGAAGAAAATGACCACTTGTGCCAACAACCTAAGTAGCTCAATAATAATCTTCTTTTAGTGGAAGTAATATGTCTTGAGTTCAAATTGCATGTGGATAGAGTGAATTAAAGGATGGGAGAGGTTGCCTCCTATTGTGCAACCCAAGGGAAAAAAATGAACACTTGTAAAAAAAAAAACGACATAGCAACACTACAAACCATGATTAATGAAATGACGAAATGCTCAAAAGAGAAAAGACAAGAAGAACGAGTAATTAAAAATGAAGACTCTAAGAGAGATAGCAACAACTATTCATGTGGCTAGAAATAAGCAAAATAAACAGCCAGGAAGGGATGCATAAGTCTTTTTCTGTATGTATATCCTGGGTTTTGAAAGCTGAAAGTTGTTCTCATGGGCAAAAAATCAAACACACATGGATCATAAACTTGACAAAACTGTTATCCAGAGACAGGACAAAATTGAGTTTGGGATGATCAACCAAATTAAAACTTTAGCTCAGAATCGCCATGCATGGAGAATGAAAACAGAACAGAACTGATACTAAATATATAGCTATGAAAAAAAACTTTCATATAACACATGATTTAAAGGGAGAAAACAAGAGAAACCCAACTCACCAGCAAGCTAAAACCAGTGACTGTTGCAAACGAAGTGGCCATTGAAGTACCGGAGAGAGGTAGCTTACCAAGGTGCCCGACAAACATTATAGATATCATCTGTAAAGAGTACCATAATAGACTTACAGTCACCAGAGGCCCTGCTAGCCATAGCTGCTTCTTCACTTCTTCAAAAATTTTCTTTCTTGTTATTGTACCTTCTCCATTGATTCTCCCTTCATCATCATTAACAATAATCACAGCTTCATCATTTTCCCCTAATATTTGGATCGGAGGCGCATGTAGAGAGAACTTTCTCCCTTCTCT